CCAGGAGCTACATCGGGTCCACTGGATGGGTCCACAGCTTGGCTTGGGCATTTGGGCTTATTGACAATTATTGATCTAACAGAAATCTAGAATCTAAAACGTAAAGATCCTAACAAGTGCACACAGCACGCATGACATGGGCCATGTTCCCACTGTCCTGGACCTCTGCCTCTGACCCACCTGTGGAAACCCAACTGCAAACCCACGCAAACCCGGAACCCTTTAAGCCAAGCCCACGCCTGCGATTGATGCTCACGTAGGTTGCAGTGCGATTTCTCGCCAAAGCTATGCGCTTGTGAACCTGCACAGAAGACAGAAGCCAGGCTTGGGACATGGGGGCGCAGGTGCTGTCGCAGGCTGCATGGCTCATACTCTCTAGGACTCTAGGCTCTAGGACCAATCCAATCATCCTAGTATAAACTATAGTGTGGGAAATTTACAGGGAGGAATGCTTCAGGCTTGCGGGGCTCCAGCAGAAATCCACAGCAAAAGATGCAAGGCCGGCCTGCGCATGGTCGCCCTCCACCAGGCGCTCAGCAACCGGACAGAACAGAAGCTTTCCCAAAAATTGGGATAGCAAACGCAAATCGCCTAACGCAACTCCATCCAGGTATTGCTGCGCTTGCAGGGCAAGATCCCCAGTCTGCAATTCAACCACTAAGGGGTGTCGCGAAGCTACCCGCAGACTACGTTGAATGAACTCTTTTGATATTCTAGGGTTCAAATGGGCGCATCCAAACACTGACCAGGGGGGAAGCCGCCAATGTTGCAGACGTAGGGACAACACAAATAGAAGATGGGATTTGCCACGCTGATACTCGTCAACAAGAGAAGCCCTTACTGCAGCTTCGATGTCACGCGGAAGTGTGGTCATGAAATGCGCAAGACTGGTGCTGGAGACCTGGCGAAGGACACTCATGAAATCTCCTGCGGCTAACTCTGGCGCCCTACAGCCCCTCAATGGACAGGTTGCAACTTGCTTTCGGATATCCCCGGGCAACTCTGCGAAGTTCAGATCGCCGTGACATATGCAGGATTCAGTCCAACTCAAGGCTGCTTGCACCATCTTCGTCAATGACTCTAGCATTCGAACATAACCCCAAAAGATGGGGCTCGTGATGGCACTATCGATGGATCGGATATCCACACCCTCGAAAGCAAGGTCCTGACGGCCCTGCACATTTCCATATTTAGACAAATCCCAGCCCCACCGAAGAATGGGCTCGATTTCAAGGAGTTGTTTGACACATTCTGCGACACTACCCCAGCGGCCTGGGTTCAGCTTCGCATCAAACTTTCGAATTGAAGCTTGAAGGACACGTCCGGTGGGGTCATTAAAACATGTTTCCAAAAGACGTTCCCTAGAATCTTTCCGTCTCAACAACCTGCTCACCTGTTGCGCTTGAGAAATGACAGACTCAAAATTTGGCATGCCACGACTGAGGTCTTTGCTGGAATTATGGACGATGTGCAACATGCCGGGGATGCCAACTGATCTAGACAGGTCAAGTTCAGAGGCAAGATGCAAGGAAGCCGCATCTGGACCTGGGGCCCAACAATGTTCATCGATGACTTCCTGAGGCCCTGGGATGGAAATCCATGGGAAAAGGGTTACAACCTTTACTGCAGGAAGGTTACTAAAGCTGGCTTCTGTCCCCTGGTCAGTCGTGACGGAGAAGATTGTGCGCACAAACTCAGCAAGTGACAGGGCGTCCCCTGTCTCCAGGAAGATGGAGTGCATAACGCTGTGATACTTATGGTAGACACTGGCGTGGCCACTGCCAACAACCACACTTGGAAAAAGATGGCTAGTCAAACCTAAACGGATGATGGCAAACAGCTGCCTTTCACGGTTGCTCGCCATGTACCGCTGCTCCAAGTCAACAAGACCCCTATTAGCATCCCTTA